CAGCATTTCATTGTATTTTCAGTTCTGGACATGTTTTGTATCAGACTTGTTTTGTCCTAGAGGCTCAGACTTGTGACACCGGTTCCTAGGAGGTTCTTTTTGTATATAATCAGTATTGGCATCTCTTGTTTTTGGTATCTAAATCTCATATACTCTGAGTTTATTGCTTCTTTCATGTCTCCTATTCAACTAATGGATTTTATGGTCGGGCTTGCCTAGCCTCACGGTCGGGCGCCATCACGACCGGGTTTTGGGTCGTGACAACGTGGTATCAGAGCCTAGGTTACTTGGTCTCGCGAGTCTTGAGCCGGTTTAGTAGAGTCTCGCGGATGGGTACGTAGACGTCCGTACTTATCCACGGGAGGCTACAGAACTTTAGGAAATGTATCGCATCTTTTGAATTCTTATCGTGCGGCTTGTTGATCTGAGAACTAAATTTGTTGTTATTCCATTCTCTCGCAGATGGCGAGAACACGCTCTACCGGACGAGGTGGACGACCTCCAGTACCACCTGCTAGAGGCCGTGGACGCGGTAGAGGCAGAGCCGCAGAGGTAGCACCTATTGATCCACCAGTTAAGGATCAGACGCAAGCAGAGCCTACTGCGACACCCGGACTTCAGGAGACCTTAGCTCAGATATTATCAGTATGCACCGGGTTGGCTCAGGCGATGTCCGCTTCTACAGCAGCCACTTCTCAGACAGGGGATGGCCAGCAGACCCATGTGGCTCGCACTCCAGAGGTAGCTCCTATTGCTCCGGTTGCCCCAGCAGCACCAGTTGCATCAGTTCCGCAGGTTGCTCCGGTTCAGGAGGGAGTGGTTCCGGTTATGACTGACGACTAGCAGCGTCGCCTTGAGAGGTTCACCAGATTGATGCCTCTTACTTTCAGCGGTGCTAAGGGCGAGAATGCCCAGGGATTTCTGGATAAGTGTAGACGGATGCTTCGTACAACTGGTATTCTTGAGTCTAGTGAGGTTTCTTTCACGACATTTCAGTTCTCAGGTGCAGCTTTTGATTGGTGGGAGGAGTATGAGCGGCGTAGGCCGGTGGGTGCAGCACCATTATCTTGGCAGGAGTTCTCCGCTTTATTCTTAGAGAAGTGGTTACCGTACTCCCAGAGGGAGGAGCTGCGGAGGCAGTTCGAGCACCTGCGTCAG